CTTCAGCCTCCACTTATTTGGTTTAGTCTGGTACATTTAAACAGAGATAGATGTGGTTTCTAGTTCCTAAAACTACTAGAGATTGCATGAGATTGGGTATAATTTAGCAACTCTTTAAGTCAACAGAGTACTTTTACTTAGAAACCTTACCTCTTAAAAGATGATATGCAAATTAGTTTCCTGAAGCCAACATTTCTTTTGTACCCTAACTGCCAAATATAAAGCCATTCCACATAAATACAGCAGCTATAATAGTTTGACCTCATCATGCACTGTTTATTGTGTTTTGTAAATAGAAAGCAGTTAGTACAGGAATCATACCATCAGCAAATTCTTGGTGACTGTCCATAGCTCTTTGACTATCGGCTTATTTTGGTAGGCCAGCAGGTCTGGCTGCAGTTGAATTGTCTGCTGTTTCCTCAGCCACAGAATCTCAGATAAATTTAGCAGATGTGAAACTCCAGCTAATAGTACTTGGGTAGCATAGCATGGGAATCTTATTTTAGATTCAAGTTTATTTGTTGCTCAAAATTATCGAATCTGTGAGGTTGGATTATTTTGGTTATATAACTGCAACCTGGCTTTGTGACTCTATAGTACTGAGAAATATTTTAGGTTGTTTCCCTGAAATAGATCTTCACCTTTTCAGAATTAAAGAGATATTCTCCAATTTCTAGATGAAGAAGGTAGTTTTTGTTTTATTTCTATGGAAAGTAAAGAAATAAGGATTTCAAAGAAAGCTCAAGTTTCTCAATTACAGGAAAGCGTTTCAGAGCTTTATAAAAGATTCTAGAAAATTTTACTGTAAAAATCTTAATTATGCTTTAAGAATTTTAAGTGTAAGCCAGACATGGTGATACACATATAATCTCAGTACTCTTGGAGGCTAAGGCAGGAAGATAAGAAGTTCAAGCCCAGCCAGGGCGATTTAGTGAGTTAACAAGACCCTGTCTCAAAATTTAAAAAGAAGCTGGGTATGGTAATGTGTGCCTGGCCTATAATCATAGCACTTGGGAGGCTGAGACAGGAGAATCACCAAGAGTTTGAGGCCAGTTGGGGCTACATAGTGAGTTCAAGGCCAGCTTCAACTACATAGTGAGATCCTGTCTCCAAAGCAAAAAGAGAGAGAGAGCATAGGAGAATGTAGCTTAATGATAGCTTAATCATAACATATTATTAGATGTTAGACATATAGTAAAAAGATTTAATAACTGCATCTGAGTTCAAATCTAGAAAAGGAGACAAAGTAATTACAACATAGAGCATATTGTAATAAGAAGTATATACCCAGGAATATTTTTAAGAATGAATAGACTTCCTAATGAGTATAATATAATTTCATTGGAGACAGAAAAGATGGGCAAGTTCACCAGAAAGGGCACTTCAGCATGAAATAGGAGTTAGCGAACTCTTTACTTTTGAACTTGGGCAAACTCTGAGGTCATATCTTTTCTCTTTTTTGTTTATTATTTCCTTCACTGTGTTCTTTCTATTTTTGTAGAAAAGTTTAGAGCTGATACTTCATTATTTATTGCATAATTCCATTTTATGTTAACTAAAAATTTATGTTTCATTTGTATGTGCATATAAAGTTAAAGTAGTATCTTCAATTTTGTGCTGCTTGGTTAACCTTATTTATATTTCTTTTAATCAGGGACTGGGGATTTAGCTCAGCAGCACAGTGCCTGCCTGGCAAGCACAAGGTCGTGAGTCAATTCCTGGTACCAGGAAAAAAA